AACACTAGGGGGTAGTTAGAGAGGGGGTAGCGCGTGTGCGTTATGTAAATGCTGTATACGGGGTAATTGGACGATCGTACGCGTTCAAAACGCCGATTTTCTCGTTCCGCACGGCCTTGGACGCGTCGGCTCGTAGAAAGCGAAATCACGTGCGAGTCTTTCGCTTAAGGCATTGCACGTACAACCACTTATTTTAAACAAATCGGACCTTTCATTCGAACAACCAGCTGAGATTTCGTCTCCTTTTATCAAAGCTAACAGTCGATGAACTTGCATTCCTGTCGTCTTGGCTAATAAAATTGTGTCATTTTATTAGATAAACAAACAATATTTATGTTTATTCGATCAGTATTTATAATTGTGTATGTGTGTGTGACTAGTGTGGCATCAGAATTTACACATTGACCATTCATTTAAAATACTGTTATCTTTTTAAATTATTGGTTTAATACTCATCGAATACATAGTATTGAACAATTAGTATCTCTTAATAAAATGACGAACTTTTTCTAGTTGATGTCGAATTCGTTCGACCTTGTTCAACATCGGAACTCAATAGTTCCAATCACATTCTTTTTTTATTCCATGCTTTTAAATTAACTTTTCATTCGTACAGAAATAACGGAATTTTCCCATATGGAAAAGTAAAATCGACATTTATGTGTAGAATATTGTATCGACTATGAGAAAAAGGGAATGAGAGGGAAGTACATTCACCGTTACAATGGAGATCGTGAAGATTTTAATTCATGAACCGATGAATTAATCATCACTTGCAAATGTACTCCGTCTGGAATCTCGAATGGGGCCTTGAGCTATTCTTGCAAGGCTGTGGTTTGCAATATCTTTCGCTAGCATAGTCAACGTCATTTATATCAACTATTATTAGCTTCGTGTCATTGGACAAATTCGTTCCTCGTCTCATACGATATTCTGAGAATCGATTATTTTTAAATAACCGACACCGATCTTTTCACTGCACGCGTAGAATATTTCTTAGAATTCGCAGTTGGCAATAAAATAGTCGATTGTTTAGAATTATTGTATAATTACGATCGTGTGTAGAGCGTATCGAATTTCCTTCATATTTTATCTATTCAAGGATCATCCCGATATCCGGGCAAGCTGCTCGAGCCATTAACTCATTTGCATAGGAATGTCTACTTCATCTTCTACGATCATATAACTTTTTCCATAGTAACCCTCTGGAGATTTAACGCTCCCTTTCCCATGCGTAATTTTCACCACCGAGATGATAGGTCTTATAGTTATGCCTCGAGGAGACAATAAGTCGAGATATAACTCGACCGCACCATGGAACTCTCTATGCGAACCGCTTAAACTCCTTCGGAAGGTACCGAAAGCTCGTACCTATTCGACCACCGAGAGTTAAACTCGGTTTAGCCGAACTTGGGTAGTAGGAGAGAGCGGCACTTAGTAACCGTCCTCGTCGTTCTAGGAAACCTCAACAAAGTAAGTAAATCGTAGTTTAAATTAAATTCTAAATGGGATTTCCTTAAGTGCGATATCGTTAGTATAAAAATTATATAGACCAAAATCTAACGAGTATTAAATTGAGATCTGACGATAATTGGTGGTAAGAGTTATCGAGTGGATCATGTGAGTGGACCAATCGGTTAAAAGAAAGGTAGGAGAAATAGTCTATTTGATGAGTAAGGGAAAGAGAGGAGGTGAGGAGGGAAGGAGGGAGGGCGGGGTGGGGGGTAGGTAGTGATCGGTCGCGACGCGGAAAGTGCGCTGATTGTGAATCGACCTGATTGCCTGAGTGCCGGCGGCGTTCAAACATCGTCCACAAAGGCGGTAATACCAGGGCCGAAGCCTGCGGCGCCCTCCCTAAAACGATTATCCACTCGACGAGCCTTCGCTCGAGGAGGGTTAGCCGCTCGTAACGACGTATTGTGAGGACCTCGCTAGTCGCGGAAAGCCCCCGCGGGAATTTCCTCCTTCGACGCCGGAAAATCCTTCCTGAGTATCCTCTCGAGATTCGTACCTCCTCCCCTCTCCTCTTCTTCATCCTCCTTCTCATTCTCCTCCTTCACCTCACACATCCTCTAGTTCTCCTTTTCTGATACTCCAGGAAGAACATCGCGAGATTCTTTGCAAAGAGGTGTCAACATCTTTGTAACCTCTTAAGATTCCACCTTACGTGAGAAGCCTTGAAGCCTTTCGATTATCCCTTTCTCAAAAGATTTCTCTGTGTAATTCTTTGTACTAATCGATTTTCTCTAACGAATTGTCGAAAAAGATTAACTAGTCATTACTAGTCTTTTCTTTTTGCTTTGTTTTTATTTTACATGTCTCATAATATATTTTCGTTGAAAGCTATTATGAGCGTTCGAAGACAAGAAAGAAAGTTTGTACATTTGTCATCGACTTCCGTCTCAACACTTGTCTTCTCTCGACGACTTCTCACAAAACTTTGAAAAAGTGTCTTTTCTTTGAGGTTAAATAAAAATGGAATAAACGTAATAATAGTAGTGGTAGTAGTAGTAGAAGCGGAAGGTGTTATTACCATAGTCGCGAGTATCGATGTTCATACGTTAGACTGTATAAAGGTAAAACCCTTCAGGCCCTAATGCAAGATTTAAGAGCTCACGCATATTACGTAGCCTAGCGTCCGTATTTTTTCTTAGACGGCATAAGTATAAGGCACTTTTCAGCGTAGAAAAAGAACGCAAAAGAATAAAGAAAAAATGAAAGAAAAAAAGAGACAGAATTCTACCCTCCACGTAAGCTATACTTTCGAGGACGCAAGTACAGAGATGGTTGGCGATCTGGAAATAAGCATGGAACGCTACATCGGTCATAATGGATGAGGCATAGGAAGAACCGATAGGATGCTTCATTATGCGAACCTAAGAGCTATACTATAAGAAAAATAACTTGTTTTATTATACTACTTTCTCTATTTCGTCAATAAAAGAATTTCTACAGTCCCCTACAGTATGGAACGTAATGACATCACATTTTTCGACTTTGCCAATCGCAGAATATGAAAATCGAAAAGTATATATTACTTTTATATTCTTTGAATAATTCCTCCATAAATTCTAGGAGTTTAACAACATCCACTAATACAAAGGGTAAATACACGAATACTTCGTTATTTACATTTATACATGCATACGTGTATTCTAATCTTTTTCTTGGTAAAGTGTTAAGCAAGTAGTAGTTTAGTCCGAGGATAAGCTAACTATAAAAATAATTTTACAGAGGCGTCTTGATGCTCGCAATAAAGCGGCACTATTATCGTCGGTTAAAATATAGAAGCTCTAGCATTCGTCCAAGGGTATTAACTCGAATAAGATAGAGAAGGTTGGAGTCGTCGTGTCGTTATAGTTATATCCCGTACCGCTAGTCCAACGGTTTCATTACGCGTAATTCACTATGGGCTGTGGTTAAACCCTTCTCTCTCTCTTTATTATTTTGTTCAAGTTCTCCATAATTTCTAATCGCTATAGGGTCGACAAAATTCATCGTTTGCTAGACAACGAAAGAAATGAATGCAAAGAAAAAAAAATAGAATAAAAATAAGAAGGGGAAAAGGATGAGAAGGAAGAAGTTTTGTGTTCACTCCCCTCTCTCTTTCTCTCTTACACACCATCGAAGGAATCACTGTAATTTCCGTTTCGGAATCGTGGCCGGGTACGAGTGGGTATAAATTTTCGTTCGGTCGCGCAACGATCTTGATCTCGGAGGTCGCGAGCACGCGACGATCGTGTCCGGCGTGCATCCCAGCGTGACGCCTCGGCAACCCCGTTCACCCTTCTCCACCTCTTCGCACGCGAACCACCCACGTCGTACCTCCCTTCTTTCCAGTTCTCTCCCCATTCTCGTATTTCCCTATATACGAGGGCGCCAACTTGGCTGGCCCCGACAGTTCCAAATAGATTTTAATTCCTTGCTTTTTGGTTTTAATGATGAGTTTCATTGTTTTCACTGTGTACATCTTTCTATTTCTAACACGCAAGTTATGGGAAAGTTTGAGCATGAATAACCAATAAGTATAATAAGTATTTTCGGTGTCGCGTTTCGTGGTTGAGTCTCTTAACGGTTCTTGAATTAATAATTATCACTGGCACGACATTGTCCAAAGCACAGAGAAAAATATAGGAAAAGAGGAAAAGAGGTAAAGGGGGAATTGTCTTGCACGTTCCTTCCTCATCTTCCTCTCTTTACGAGGATACCAAAGAAAGATAGGGTACGGTAAAATAGAGAGAGAGAGAGAGAGAGATAAAGACTGGGAACAGAAGAGAGTAAGGGTGAGATGCGAGAGGGTTTTCTCGAGTTTGCGAAGACAACAGCTGCGCGTCCACTGAAATATTAAGGGGTTCTATGCGAGAGGTAGGTCCTACGGACAACCCTTTGGGTGGCTTGTAATCGATGAGATAGTACGTCATCGGTATGGTTCCTCGAACCCTCTCTTACACTTACACTCGAAGTTCTAAGTCGTTACATATGCTCGAATGCATCTACTCTGTCTTTGCTAAGCATACCATGTATTTACGTAATATAGGTGGTGTATATGGAAGAATGCACGCGCGTGCTGCATCTAACGTACGTACGTATATGTAATACATAATACTATGCACACGAGCCGCAAATTCTCCTAATGGTGTAGAAACGTGGTTGTCAAATGACTCGACAGAAAGGGAGTAGTTAGCATACTTCTTACGCTACCCTTGAAAGCGTAATTCGAGAAATTATGAAAAGTTTCGTCGTAAGAAGGTAAAGTGGAGTAAAGGAAGAGAAAAGTGGTCTATAACAGGTAGAAGCTAACTCGACGAACTTTCATTCGACGCTTAGCGAAGAGTTTTAATGCTATAGTCAAAGAAACTAATCCCCTCACGGTCGATGTACTTTTCCTCGTGTGATCAACGTGCAATACAAGCCGATTATATAACCTCGTTTAAGAAGAAGAAGAAGAAAAGGAAAATTGTTTAATGCGAAATCTATTATTTATTCATATTTTCAACAAAATCATCTTCTAGTCGAGGAAATAATACTTTCATTTCTTTTCTTCTCTACCCTACCCCCTTTTTCATTTGCAAAACAGCAAGTTAGACATCTTCGTTTCATCCCTTTCTTTTCTTTCTTCCTTTTCGTTTCTTTTTGTTTTCAAAGGGGTGGGTCAGAAGCACGAAATTAGCGATCGCAATTAGTCTGCGGACTGAAAAGAAGCAGCCTGTGGCGAAAAGAAGAAGAGACTTGGTTGTTTCGTGGCTGGCAACGAAATGCACATTTTCTTCCTTCCTCCTCTCCCCCTCTTCCTTACCCCTTCTCCCGGAGGCTAAGCAAGAAGTAAGACAACGACCAGCAGATTGTTCTCTCCCCATTTCGCGAGACTCCTCTTCTCTTCTTTCCTTTCTTCTTTATCTTCTTCTTCTTCTTCTTCTTCTTCTTCTTCTTCTTCTTCCTCTTTACGACCAACTCTTCTTTACTCTCTGCAAAAACGTGCGCGAGCATTCTCCTTTCCTTTTCTTCCTCCCCTCCTCTTCGTCCTCCTTCATCGTACGTGGAACTAACGCGTGGGTTCCTTTTTCCCCCAAGGGCGACATAAACCCAGAGACAAATTGCTACGTGTGTTTACGTTAAATCGCTAAAGCGCCTTCTCCTCGCACAGTTACCACATTCTCCTTTTATTTCGTTGTCCTAGACGCGAGAGTCAAGGTGTAAGTCTATCTTTGAATGCATCCAAGAAAAGACAAAAATGCATACACAACTCAAGTATCGTCATAGAACAAAATACACTTACAAAATATGAAACGCGTATCACGTAATAAATCGTCCCAAAAGTTTCTTTACTTTTTCTTATTTTTAACAGTTTATATATGCAGAATATTTTTATTTTTTATTTAATAAGGTACAAAATATGTTGTATATTTCAAAATACTTTAAAAACGAATGCAATAAATCTGGCCGATTTAATTTTATAAAAAAGAAACGTGTGTTCGTTTAGGACTACTTACAAAATTAATTTTATCCAATATTTTTAACTGCAAGACGCGTAACTCGATATTATTTTCAAAAATACATTTTTTAATCGTTTTAAGAATCATAGGCGTTTGCAGGGTAATTAACTTATTATAAGTACTATTAGAATGGTGGGTAAATTTGTTAGTATAAATATTAGCTTACCTATGCGTATTCGCTGTTATTATTCACAAGGGTACTATTCATTATCTTAAGCAAGACATCGGAACAGGAGCAAGGAGAGATTTTCTTCGTCTAGACGTAGCTCTCTATGAGTAAGCGAAGGCAAGGGGATGGAAACGACGCCGTAGCAGTTTGTAAACAGACGGGAAGCGTGTTTGAGTGCTTGGCTCCTTAGTTGTGCCCACCAAATCGTGCTGCGGTTCCTATCCTCCAAATCAAATCGAATTTGCCTTAATGAACACCGTACTTCCGGATCTTGCGAGTTTGAAGTTACTTCAACTATTGCTATAATTATTATCACATATGCCAAACGAATCATAAATTCTCGTTAATTTGTTATTCAATTTTTATTTGATTAAATATTTGTTGCATTTCATTTCGTTGATTTTTGATTTGAATATTTATTTATATTTTTATTCTATAGCGTATACAAATAAATTCAACTGGTCAGTCTCATCCAGATTTTCCACTCGTGTCTGGAACGTTAATTTAACGACAAAACGTCGATACGACACAACATTGTTATTTTATAAAATCCTATTATATCAGCCTACCTACCTGCCTACCTACCCGCACACCCCGTTACGATTGGTTTCATGAAACGAATTGGGAACGATCGTAAAAATGATGTAGCACGCAACGTGTCGTATTAAAACGCACGTAGTTCTGGCTACGCGTATTGCTAATTTCGATCGGGACAGTCGATAAGTTTTTAACGATTTTGCTAAAAGTGGAATTCACTTTTTCTACCGACCCCCTCGTGCAGCGAAAAAAATAAAAGAGAAAAAAAATGAAAAAAGAAATGAATGCGATAACTGCGACGATGATAACGGATGGGAAAAGTTTCGTTGACAGGAATGGAATAATCGATCATCCGATTCGTTATTAATTTTCTTTTTTTTTTTCTTTTCTATCTTTTTTACTTTTTTTTTTTCATTTTTTTTATCATGAGTTAAGAGTTACAGAATGTCATAGCGAGATCATTTTATATCGAGTTACCGCAAAGTTCGATCTAGTACTAGTACCTACCTCCAATCGGATATATGTATGTAGCTATCTTTGATTTATTGTCCTAGGAAGAATCGAAAATCGTAGTAGGACGAGGATCTTTTGTAGTAGGAGACATGGAAGTTGGTTGCTCGTGTGGTTTGTTTACACGAAGAATCAAAGAGGTATCGGTTTCCTGAAGGTGTAACCAACCGATTCGGAAGCTAGTTTACCGTTACACCCTTCGTTCCTTCATCCGTAAGGCTAGAAGCCCGTCGACTCGAGAACGCCTCTAACGTCGTTGCCGCGGTTGGATCCGATTTCACGTTAGAACGAATCCTTGGTGATCGACCGTCAGAAATCCCATACGTTCCCGCGAGGATCTTCTTCTCTTTATTTTTCATTTTCTTATCATCTCTTTTTCATTCTCGATGAACGCCTTGTCGATCTTGTTTCTATCTGAGAGATGCAAACGTTGACTTAAAAAAGTTAAATTAATTGGATCATTCATGAAAAATTTTCTTCGATTTTTAGATTGGTGACGCATTTTCTTGTTAAATATCAATTCTCCATAATCCGATAGGTTCTGTAGCGAGTAAAAATCTATCGAAGAAACTTTAGCACACCATCGTCATTCACGGTACGTTAAACTTGCGTTTCCGGGCGAGCAGTACATCGGATAACCGTAATGTCTTGAACATCCATAAATCATCTGAACGATACTCTACATTGGATTCGCTAACGTCGCACGGCGATAAATCAAAGACGAAGTAGTAGAACTCGCTAAGTTCCGATCGGAAGATGTGCGTGAGGAGGAATCGAGCGAGAATATAGGAAAATAATATCGTCCTTCGTAAAAATATACCTAACACTTATCTCTTTCTTCTAGAAGGAAGCTGAAAGTAATAATAAAATTAAATAAAATACAAATAGCGCGATATAGGATGATCGGGAGACAAATCTCTGTAGAAAGAAAAATTTCGAAAGAAATTTGAAAGTATAGAAAAGAGGAGAAAAAAATAGAAAGAAGAGAAAAGATGAGATGAGAAGACGAAAGGAAGAAATAGGCGAGAATGCGTTTTGCGAAAGAATATCGTGTGTTATCTTGCTTCTACGATCGTCCCTTTTCTATCCCTTTCCCTTATCCAGGAAGGAGAGACGGTATTCGCGGAAGAAAGCGCAGCCTCCGCTGGCGGCACGGTTACCACCACCCCAACCACCTCCATTCTTAAGTATTACTACTACTACCAAGACTACCACCACTACCACCATCATCACCACTAGCATTTATACTACCACCACCTAAAACCAAGAGCAGAGTAGTAACAGCACCAGCACCAGCACCACCAGCAGCAGCACCAGCACCACCAGTAATGGCAGCAGTAGTAGCAGCAACACCAGCAACACTACCACCCTCGACGACAAGGGGATGAAGAAGAGCGTCGGTATCGAAGTGAGACGTGTATATATGTATATATAGAGGTGCGCGCACGTCGGCAAGTTCAGTCGTCCAGCGCGTGCCGACCCGCGAGCATCGTGTCGCAACCAACCCTTCCTTTTACGAATCCCTCGTCTTTCTTTCGTTCTCGATCTCGTTCTCGATCTCGTTCGAACGCTTATTCCCTCTACGACCCTCCCAACCCCACTCTCTTCTTCTCTTTTCACACTCTTCCTTTTTCTTTTTTTTTTTTATTCTTTCCTTCTTTCTTTCTTTTTACTCTCACCCCGAAAGGACCAACAGCCCTTTTTTTCTTTTTAAAACCGGTCACGTGTCATTATCCTCCCTCCTTCTAGGTGCCACCCCATTCGGAGTGGAAGTGCCGGCTCGAGTGCTATTAACGATTCCACTTTGAATTAGTCATGTAAAATCATTCCTCGAGCGTACTTCGTATTCCGAAACTTTTGTTACATATTTTTTCTTTGATATTTTTAAAAATATATGTATGTATATTTCTTCTTTTTGAAAAATGTTTTGAATTGATTTAATAAAAAATAAACGCGTGGATCGTCGTGCCATCGTCGATCCACAAAAATGGTTATCGAAGGTCACCGAGGAGAATCGTCGATTAAAATTCTCCTATTCGTGGATCGTGATAACGATAGAAGATATCAAATCATTTGAACGTAGCCGTAGTAGCAAGTATGACGGGTGAAGGAACACGAGGAAACTTCGGAGTACGCCGGAAACACGCGTATTCGATCGAAGGAGGACTTATGTAATCTGTAGAGCGTGACGACTTTGGGGTGGAAAGTTAAGTGAAATGTGAGTCGAGGATGGAGTTGAGGATCAGCATACTGCTCTTGGCGTTACTTCGTCTATCGAGCACGTTGGAAAGTAAGAAACTTTGCTTATTGAACAATCTATTTGTTCTGACAAAACTTTTATTTAACTAATCGAAAATTCTTAACTATTTTTATCTCGATTATTTTGTTCTTTAGTCTATTCTAACGAGATCGAATAAGATCTATTTCTTCGTTTCTTTTTTTCTTTCGAAATAAATTTCCGATAAGAGTTCGAGAAATCGTTTTTCTTCAGAGCTGAAAAGAAAAAGAAAATTCATATAAGGAGAATACCAAGAATAGGGTCCGAACACAATATCGAGATTACTACCTCTAAGCGGGCTATTTTATTCCCCCCCATTCAACAAAGAACACCAGTAACATCGAGTATTCACGACGATAAACGATCGGACGTAGACCAAAAGTTTCCCGAAGTAGAGCCAGCACGCATTTTATATCCCTCGTTAAAAAGACTCCTTCGGAATTGTGTACGATATCTAGAAAGATAAATAGATAGATTACACACAAGTTACTGTTGTAGATATGGGAGAACAAATATATGAATCATCTTATCGTTTAGATACAATTTTCTTCATAAATCCAATCGAATTATTTTGTTATACATGTTTGACGTAATCGTGGACTTCATTTCTGTTTGTTTTGGAAATGTTTTCTATCGTAGGTACGAAAGACGAAGGAGACGGGGAGGAAGAGGACGAAGAAAATTATCCAGTGGATGATTATGGTGATGATTACGATGACTATGAAACCGCTACGATATCAAGCGACACCGATTTTATTGCCGGAGGCCCGCTACCGATCTTCTTGGTCGAACCTGTTCGTTCTTTCGTCGTCAAAGGGAAACCGGCAACTCTTCATTGCCGTGCTGCTCACGCTCTTGAAGTAATATTTTCGTGAAACCTTTGCCGCAAGCTTTAAAAGAAAAGTACACTCTTCTCTCGGCCGTTTTGTTCGTCCTACAAAAAGAAAAAAAAAAGAAAAACCGCTAAAGATTACTCTCGAGTTCCACGTAATCTCAAGAGAAAATGTCTTATTTATAATTTACCAAACCTACTCGTTAAGTCTTCTTTAGTTTCATACGAGAAACGAGTACTTATACACGAAAGCTCTCGTCGTCATCGTCGTCACTTTAATCGAATACTCGTGTTCTATTTTTCATAGAAAAAAAAACTTCGTATTAGCGTAATATTAATAAAACTTCGTCGAATGACCCGAAAAAGTTTTCTTTTTCTATTTTTTTTTCTCGCGAAAGAAAAAAAAACTCCGAGTATAGAAATAGTAGATTGGTCTAAATACCAAGAACGCTGTGTGCGGTACACAGCTGACCTGCGTGAATGGGGAGAGAAAAATAAAAGGGAAAAAAAAAAAAAAAGTAGTAGTAAGATCTTTTTTCGAAATTCCGGAGTAATTATTCGCGCGTGAAAAAAAGAAAAAAGAAGGAAGTAAAAGTCACGAACGAGAAAATTGTTTCGTGCCGATGTATGCGAGGAAAGAAAATCGGCACAACAGTTTGTAACGTTTCAAAAGGAAATGATTAAGTACTTACTTATTCGCAATGCCCCTTTTTTCCGGGGTTGCATTTTTGCAGGTGTACTTTCGTTGCAACGGCGAACGAGCTGAACACTCGCAGCAGCAGGATTTTGTAGACCCTCGTACCGGAACGAGGGTCGTCGAGGTTGAGTTGAACGTGACGAGGAACGAGGTCGAGGAGTACTTTGGATCGAAGAAGTTCAAGTGCGAGTGCGTCGCTTGGTCGGGATCAGGTCAGATTAAAGGGCAGTCCGCCACGGTTGAGGTCGCCTGTAAGTAGAGGGAACCCCTTCTCTTCTCTTTTCTCTCTCTCTCTCTCTCTCTCTCTCTCTCTCTCTCTCTCACTCTCTCATCCTCATCCAAATCCTTATCTTCTCTTTCTCTTCTCCTTCGATCCATCTTGAATGTTCATTTTTGCGACTGGCAGAATCTCTTAGTTTCATAATTCTTACCATTACCGTGATAACTTTCGAAAAGAAGATTTAAGTGTCCACTTCTTTGTCCTCTTCGGATCTTTTTCCTTCAGTTGAATTAAGAAAAATTGTAAAGAAAGAAAAAGACAAGGAAGTAATGGTATAATAAAAACGTCAAGCTGAACAATTTCATTTTTACTAAATCGTATATACAGATAAATGTAGGATACCAAGGGTGATAATTAAATGTTTTCGCGGGATATCGCAAGAGAACAGTATTGTTCGTAGAAATGAAAAGGCATTGTCAGGGATTTAACCTCTTAAAATAAAAGCTCGGCAATGCCTCGAGTGTACTTTTAAAGCACGCCTTTAATGCTCGACTACGGCTCGGCCTGTTCCTCCTGGACGCGAACGAATGCCACCGCGGGGCAGGTGATATTACTACAGCTCACTGTTTCCTCCTTCTTTCATATTCTCTCTCTCTCTCTCTCTTTTTTTTACCACCATTCATTTCCTTCCAAGGCTTTTTTACACGTGTGCGTGGTTTTGATCATACCTATGTTGTACCATACTAGACTATCATCATTTTCATCTTATCGTTCTTCGTTGTCCTAGACTATACTCATCGACCACGTGAGAATTCTTTTGTTCTTCTACCACGAGCGAACTTATTTGAAAAAAAAAAAAAAAAAGAAAAAAAGAACTTTTTCATCAAATTTCTTTCATAATTTTTTTCTTCTCCCCTTCAACCCCTAGATAGACAGACGGAGAGAACAATATATTATAGAATTAGATTGTACACCACGAGGCGGCAGACTTTCGGAGTGCGAAGTATCAAATGCCGTTATAACTTTTGAAACGTTCGTTTCTATATGTACCCAAATGAAGTTACATTATATTTTCACCTTTCGCAGTTTAAATTTCGTTAGCTTCGTGAAAGGTCCTATCGAGCTCACATTTGTAATATCATTAAAGTTTTTGATATATAAAACGATTAGCCTTAGATATTCTAAATACATGACTTAACTTAAACTTTATTTTTAACTTGCAGAACGAAAAGAGAAAGAGAAAGTTATCCGTGTTGTAGAAAATTGTATTGTAGCAACTAGTGTCTCGATTCCGTCGATAAAACGTAACTTCATTAACTCGATTAGCGTGCACCCGATCCTCGTGCAGGGATTTTCGAGATACCAGACACGAAATTCACTCTCTCTCTCTCTCTTTAGTAAGCTTCTCTCTTCGAACGAGGGTCAGTCGAGGTGACAGGGGGAAAGAGAAGGAGAGAGTGAAGAGGGGTAAAGGGAGGGCTT